ACTTCAAGTCACGACCTCCCCGCCAAAGATTTATTCACTGAATGCTTGAAGCTCATGCGACGAGTAGAGCACTTTGGTATCCGAGACTTCCGCCCCCTCGGTATAGGCTCCTGCGTCGCTGACCTCGAGTTTCCCAACCTTTGGTCATGCACCTTGGAATTCTGTGCCGAATCCTGGAAACTCCATGGCGCGAAATTTTTGAGTCGCCACCCGACCATAACGCACCTTCATCTGTTGACGTGGGCCATCCATGGAGGAGACGACCCCTTGCCCCAGCTACCTAGGCTTCAGTATTACCATGGACCGTTCCACCTGCTTTGTGGATTCTCAAAGCAGAGTCTTCTGGCGGTTCAAACCTCCTGGACTGGAGGAGAGACCTCGAGTTTTATCGAGAATCTCAGTGCGCTGACCGGACCCAATCTCGCGAGTCTTTCTGTCCATTATTTTGTCCCGGAAGAACTCTCCAATGTTCTTATTCATTTGTCAAAGCACATGTCGCACTTGGAAAAATTGCAGCTGCACTTTTGGGATGCTCCTTCTACCGCGGTAAGCATACATATTCTTGACTCCTGACTCAAACCGCCGCTTATGATCGTACAGGCAATTGCAACCAACATGAATCCATGCTTGCCGCGATTCAAGCGTCTCGCATATCTGGCATTCAGCTCTGTTGATGTTGAAAGCGCTGCGGTGGTCAACTCTGATCACGAACGAAGGACTTTTGAAGTCTGGACAAAAATATGCCCAACGCTGAGAGGCTGCTGCATTGGTAAGTAAGATGTTTGGTTATCCTAAATTGCGCACAATCATCATCCCTGATACGTAGGTCGAGCAGCTTGGCGGAAAATCGACGAGAAATGGGAGGATTGTAGTAAAAAAGAATTTCATTTAGAAGCTGGATTTCGGACCAACTTTTGTCTAACGAAGTTTGAAGCTTATATCTATTCGCCATTTCGAACATGCAAATGCTTCTGGAACTTTCGGCGTACGTCGGTATTCTTAATAATCGTCTTACTGAAGGTTTCAAAAACTTGGGCACGGATCGACTCTCTACGCAGGCCGCAGTTCGATTGACCACGGGCAAGCAAGAGTGTTGATTGATTGAGCTTTGGAACAGTTCCACTACTAGTAACGAATGAATGGAATTTAAAGCCATAGTCTATGAGATATGGATTGAGAAATCTGAAAGAGAGCAGTTCTGAACCGGCTGAAGTGCGAGCCGCTAGTACCAGCGCATTTGCCGAGTCAGCCACCAAGGGCTTCAGACAATGAGGCGGTTGGATTGTGGGCGCAGTGTGTGCAATATGAGAAAACTCGTCGTCTAAGTATATTATTAATGCGTACACAGCCTGAAGCTGTACAAAACGTCCATTCCGCCGGCGCCCCGTACAAGTCATGCCTGGGGAGGGGAGCATCGAGAGAAACCATCCAAAGAAGAGTCAAGAAGCGCCAAGTCCGGTCTTCGTATATGAAATTCAGCGACGCACACATCACTGAAAAGCCGGTAGCCCACACACCTCTTCAATCGAAGATAAGAGCCCCAGTCCATCCATTCTGCAGATAAACGGCGAGGGCCATAGAGGCTATGATGGTGAGTATGAGAGCGACGCGCTGCCATGTGGGGGGCGGCTCTCGGATGAAGCGCGGGTCTGGCGGGTAGACCACCGGGGGGGCACGGGTCAGGTTTTCCTCTTCGTCATCGCGAGGATGGGAGGGTGAAGGTGGAGGGCGGATGCCGTCGGTCTCGTCGTCGTTGGAGGGGAGGAGCGTATAGCGGGGACGCATCGACATGGTGGGGTCGGGAAGAGGTCTAGGCTTGCACTGCCGCTGATGCCAGCTAACGAGTTTGTAATCCTCTTTCGTTCTCCCATGTGGACCTGACCGCCTGAGCGTTCCTTGGGGTGCCTCCCTCGTGTGGTTTTCCGATGCCATGGAGAAAATGTGATATTTAAACCAATTTACATCCGTCGGCGTCGTCGGGGGATCTCAGCTCTCTGGCTTGGTTCTGGCTAAACGGACACCGTCGACTCCTATCAGCGTTGAAGCAAATGATCTCGTCGTCGGTGGAAAGAACTCTTTCTCGTTTCACCTTACTCTCCCTCTCCCTCCGTGCCAATGCCCACGTATGGCTTATCCCTTCTTTTGGCCCTGGACCTTGGTCTCTTATGCTCATGCCCTTGCTGTACGTCTCGTCCCTCGGTGGCTTCTCCGGAAACTTGACAAAAAAACTTGCTCCAGGTCCTGTTACCCCTGTACGCATACCCGCAGACGGACTGCTCAGCATGGACGCCCGTTTTTTCAGCGTGAGTGCCAACTAGCTCTTCCCTCACATCGACTGACCATCGCTCTCCAGGATATCTTCACACCCCACGAGCACCTTCTACATAATCATAAACCCAGACGACGGGCCTGGTCCCAGCGGTACACAGCCCGGCTCCGACTTTGTCGAGTGTATACCCAAGCTTCGAGTGGCCGGAAGCCGCGCGGTCCTGTTAGGCTACGTCGACACGGGGACTAATATCACCATCGAATCCGCCATCGACACCTACGCTGGATGGGACAGCGCCTACCGGCCCAGCGGCATCTTCCTCGACGGTGTCTCCCCCACTGAAAAGCTCCTCAGCACCTACCAGGGGTATGTCTCCCATGCGACGAATGCGGGCTTCAATTTCGTGCGTCGCATGTCTTTTTTATCTTATAGGGGAAAGAGCTAACGAGGTTCCTAGACTGCCCTCGATGCTGGAGAAACCGTGTCGTCGTCATATCTGGACATGGTCGACCTCGTCAACACCTTTGAGGATTCCTACGCATCTTTCAGTCCTTCGGGGTCGCTCTCGGGAACGCTGGGCAAGCAATCTGTGATCCTCACAGGCGCGCCTTCGAATGGAACTGCCTTGAGCGCGACGGTGGACAAACTACAGAGCTTGGGCGTCGGTGGTGAGTTGGTCCGTAGAGTCTTGATGAATGCGGATCTCATTCTCTCGCAGCTGTATACATCACGGATGAAAGCAACGACAGCGCGAGTATCTCCTCACAGTTTGCGTCGCTCGTCGATGCGGTCGCAGGCATCACTGTGGCAAGTCCCTATCCTTCCCCCCCCGCTACTCGCGCTGACCGTCCACAGACCCCGACCACCGCCTCTCCAAGTTCTACACCGACATCAGCCTCGACGGCCATCGCCACTTCCTCGCAATCACACCACTCCTCACACGCATCAGCCATCGCAACCGGCGTCCTCGGCGGGCTCGTCCTCACCCTTGGCCTCCTAACCGTATACGTATGTGTCCGACGAGGCCGACGAGTGCGCGCACGCGAACTGGCAGTGGCTGAGGGCAAATGGCCATACAAACCGCGCCGGCCGCGGCAGATGCTCAGTCGACTCTGGCCATGGAGGAGCGAGCAATCCAAGATGATAGCCGTGCCATATCCGTATGCGGAGCCTCCACCACGCAGTCCGTTTGTGCTGGAGCTGCCTCCTGCGATACAGGCTGGTCACGGTGGCCCGAGGGACGTTAAGCGCCCGATACCCGAGAGCTTCGAGGCCAGTACGAGTAGGCTGCCTCCGACGACGATAGATTCCGCGCTCCACCATCCAACTTTGTCTGGATCGCCCTCAACGGACCGCGAGTCGCTGTCGCCTTCGCCCACGTCCGACGGGGATGGAGGGGAGGGAGACTCGGATTCGCAATACGCCTCGACTGCATCTCGGTATCATTACCACTATCACTTCCACCCGGCTCCGGCTCAGGAGGCGGGCAGCGGGAGCGGGAGCGGGAATCCTGCGCCGACGTATACCGCTGCTCAGTATGGCCATTCCCATGCCCATTTGAGGACGCCGCCGACAGAATCCTCCCAGGAGGGTCACGGGGGATTTGACTATGGCTATGGCTACGGGTATGACCTTCAACTTCAAGCAAGCCCTGGCCTTCCGCCGCCGTACTACGAAGTGAAACGAGCATCCTTCGATTCGAGATAATCATCACACGAGGGACTTGCAGCAGCAGATGTATTCTGTTTTCTTAGTATTCCGTATTAGTACTTATAGCATACACCATATTGTTCAAGATATCCAATTTCAGTGGATCCGCATTTCTTCTACCTCTCGGAGTGAATTCGAATTTATCTCCAGGGAGGTCCCGGTGATGGACGTCCACGACACCAGGCTCTGACGAGGGCGACAACATCGTCGGTCGAGCAAGTCCAAGGCGAACCCGGCACGTCCACATGTGCGTTTTTCGACGCAGCGCGCGCGGATGCAGAATGTCTGGAGGGTGGATGGGGAGGGGCAACCTGAGCCTGGGGTGTCTGGCATCGAGATCTTGGACTTCGAAGTTAGAACTCCGTCGTTTTAGAAGGAGGATATTCACCTCTACCGGGACGAGAGGAATTTCGGATTGGTCGACCAGTGCGGCAGCAGCAGCAGCAGCAGTCGACGCAGTCCAAGAGAACAACAACAGGACGAACGCAATCAGGTTCAAGTTGTTGAACTTGTTGAACGTGGACATTTTTTGGTCTGCGAGTTCGCGTGGGATGGGATGGGAGGTCGATTCTCGAGCCTGCGACCGCAGCTCACTACTTACCGACTTATAAGTCCTCCGCCGGGCCCAGCTTCGATTGTTACTCCCGTTGCTTTGGCTTCGAATTCTTCTTCCACACCACTCCTATCTTGGATGCATTGGCATTGGCTTGACGACGCGCAATTGCCAGTGAACGGATGCTATGCAGACCAATGAAAGTGGACGAATTTGTTGTGGTTATAGTAACTTGAGAGAGAAGGCCACAGATGGATAGAGGTCTTCTCACATTGGTGGATGCCATCCACTGTGCCATGTGGAGAGAGCGTGGCCAGTATGAATCGGAGGTCAAGGTGGATGGAGTGGTTGGTGGGAAAGATTGGGCTAGGAAAAGTTTCAAGTTGTAGTTGCTCGAGCAGAGGGCACTGTAAAAGGGTTGGGGGCTCAATGAGTATTGTACGCGGGCTGAGCGAAGCAAAAGAAAAATGACCACCGCAGGGGTCGAACCTGCAATCTCCTGATAACGTACTACAATGCAATGCTCTATCGTAGTCAGACGCGATGCCATTTCGCCAGGCGGCCATTGAAAAGGGATGCAGAGGCCAAATCACTATCTACGATTCTCAGCAGAGTTCAAATTTCAACCGTTCCCATTTTGCAGCGAGTCCGCGCGAGACCTTGGGCGATTATTATTATGCAGACATCGTTTGCAAAGCCTGGGGCGGCGAGAAATTGGGATTGTTTGAAGCTTGGCTGCGCAGTGCCCAGTGCGGAACGCCGCTGATTTATTGTCCCTTCACATGGAGCGAGAACACCGAGACGACCGTGCACAGAATAGATTAGATTGAGAAGTTAAAGAAGGTTGATAGAGATGCACTTTGCTGTGGTGCTTTATCAACGGAGAGTAGTCTAATCGCCTCACCAGTCATACGGGCTGCGGAATGTGATTTATTGCAGATTTATGTACAACGAACAATCGTAGGCGTGTTGTTACATTTAACATTTGCACTCGCCAGGCTTGCATGCGCAGCTGAAAAACAAAGACACTCATCAGTCCGAGTTCCCAGGTAGCGCCTGAGACAAGTAGGTACTTACGTCGAGCCGCAGTTGCACGTCGTGCTCCCGCAGTGCTGCGAAGTAGGAGTCTGAGTGGTCTGTTGAGTCGACGGAGGGTTAAGTAAGTCACTTGCGCGTGCTGATGGACAGGGAAGGGGCGACGTACAAATTGCATGGTTGAATGGAATCGATTTGAGTGTGAGGGTTGGGGGACGAAGCGGAATCGGTCGTCCTTATATACGACGTTCGGTCCGTCCGCTCCAACGGGATGACGCGTCGTCTGAGGAGCTCAAATTCAAATAACTGAATACCACTTGGGGCGCATGACGTCGGATTCGGAGCGAGAGAGAGAGCGGATTAGAACGCGGACGGATCTCGTAAGCATTCAGAAGGACGAAATGGGTTCTCTGACAAGCTTGAGGCTTAATCGCGGTTCGGATCTGGTCAACTCAAAATGGCATAACGGTCAAGAAGACAAATGGTCCAAGGAGAATATGTATCCATCCTAGTTAGAGCCACACGCGCACGCTCCGGGCTGGCATTTGCAGCTAAGGAAAGAGGATTCAGGATCACAGCCGGGACATGGAACGGAAAAACGTACTCATCGCCGCAGCTGCAGCTGGGTTTGCCGCAGTTGCCAGCTTGGGAGACGGGGATCTGGGTGGTCTGGATGGGAGGTCAGTCAGCCGGTTTGACGACGACGGAGAGCAAGGCACGGACAGTGAACATCTTCGTTGGGTGTGGTAGCTGAAGGGGTTTGGTTGGCTTGTGGTAGTTGGGGCTCTGAAGAAAGTGAGACGCGTCGAGCCCCTTATATAGCTGTATCTCAATTGCTTAGGCAAGCATGGTCCACAAAATGGCGCTCTACTCCAAAAAATGGCGCATTGGGCTCTGGAGTCGGATTCATTAATAACCCGAGGCAAATTTGCTCGGATAAGTTGGACATCTTACTGCTTCAAGGCTCGGAGTAACTTTGCATTGGCGTCCTTGTCCACGCGGGGTGTGCTTGCCAAGTCCGAGGTCGTGGCCGGATATGATCCTTACTTTGCAGAGAAGGGAGCCATTTACGCGCGCCACTGAAGCGATGAGTCGGGCCTTATCTGCGCCATTCTGTAGGTAGCGATAACACTTGGAAAAATCCCATTCGTGAAGCATGTCGAGCACGTAGTATACTGAGATCCGACTCCTGGTTTGCGGCGAACTGAGGAGAAGGTCGAGTCCAGATTCCTCTAGGCAAGAACGAGACATCATTTCCGAGGGTGCCAGTGGTTCTTGGTGGATCGCATACTTCCCTTCTTGCAGCTCTTGGTGGCGCATTTCAGAGCCCGCTTAAACCTTGAGAAGACCGGCCCTTCATGCAGCGGTGGAGTCGAAGAGAAGATTTCCCAGGAGTCGAAGAGAAGATTTCCCAGCAACGCTGAAGAGTACCATGGTTGTTTCAAAGACGGCGATTACAAGGTCAATGTTGACGGTGACACCGGTGAAAGACCCTTTCTGATGCTGTGCACCATCATTTGTTTTCCGCGCCATTGTCGCTATCCCGTGTCTTACTCTGCGAGAACCTCACCCTCTCCACCGACCGCATACCCTCCATTCAGAACCATGGCAAGTACCCCACTCGTCCTCTGTCCAAAATCTCGCGCTCACCGGCCGTTGACAGTCTTTGCCACCTCCGGTCATGCGCCGTCTCATGCGCGAAATAACGCAGCTCAAAAACTCGCCACCCGAGGGCATCCGCGTCCAGACGAGCGAGGACAACCTCCTCGACCTTACTGGTATCATAGAAGGCCCTGGTGAGCACTCCTACGCGCTCCGCCCGAGACATGGCTGACACCACCTGTTTCAGAGGGCACACCCTACGCTGGCGGGTACTTTAGAGTCAAGTTCAAGTTCAACGAAGAGTTCCCCGCGGCGCCACCCAAGTGTGCGTCTGAGCTACACCTTGAGATGACGATTTTGTGGCTGACTGAGGACCCTAGGCTGGTTCATCACCAAGCTCTTCCACCCCAACGTCTCGAGTGCGGGCGAGATCTGTGTCAACACGCTCAAGAAGGATTGGAAGGCGACCTACGGAATCGAGCACATCCTCGTCACCGTAAAGTGTCTGCTTATCTACCCAAACCCCGAATCGGCTCTTGACGAGGAAGCGGGCAAGCTCCTGCTCGAGGACTATGCCAGCTACTGCAGTCGTGCCAAACTCATTACCAGCGTACATGCCACGCCCCGTGTACGGCCAGTCGAGTTTGACACACCCGCGTCTGAAGCGACTGCCTCCTCCGAGTCTTCGTCTGCCACGGCCTCCTCTTCATCCACCCCATCTTCCTCCTCCAAGTCATCCACGTCGACACCCACGGCACCCTTCACTCTGCCAATCATCACCCGCAAATCTTCCTCCCCTGCACCAGCCGTGTCAATCCATGGCCTTCCCATGGTGCCGCTGAAATCCTCCCCGGGCTCCAATGCAGACCGTCTCGGCGAGAACGACGGTGCGACTCTGAATCCTCCCAAGGAGCGGCACATCTCCCCCTCGCCGTCGCCTTTGGGCACCGCCGACGCCAATGTAGCACTCTCGGTCGGCGTTGTCCCTGCTAGCAACGCACCCGCGACGCTCACGCCTGGTACAAAGGCCGTCAAGCGTGCTGCGGGGCCAGGTGCTACGGGTGCCGAGAAGAGGAAGAAGGCGCTCAAGAGGCTGTGATTTGGATTGTATCTCCCCCTTTGCTTGATTTGTGTGTGTAATATATTTTGCGTGGTGGAGCGGAGGCATGTGAGGCTGGTTTTGGCTGGCTTATATCTATAGTATCTTCACTCGAACAATATATCGTTTGCGCTACCCGTCTCATCTCTTGTATGAATGCGAGTACATTAGGACACGTTGTTAGTACATCTAGTGCTACATTATATCGAAAGCAAAGGACAAAAGGAAGGTTTGTGGTAAATGAATGTGGAATGTGCCGCCCGCGGACGGTACAAAAGACGATAGAAACCCAGCTAATAAGTATGTCTCCGAAACTCCAAGCTCGCACGATGCAGCGCTCCAATAGCTTGAAGCACCTCAACACAGCAAGGCCGCGCATCAGGGTCCGCAGCCCAACACCGCTGAATAAACTCCCATTGCCCATCCGTGACAAACGACTGTGCTGGCCGGCGGGGTTTATTGCCTCTGTGGATCTCGATGATGACTTGGGCGTCTGTGCGGACGTAGTGGTATGGGATTCGACCAGAGAGGATTTCGAGGGTGACGCTGCCGAAGAGTAGATGTCGCTCCGGGTGGTGAGGGCGGGGACTGGTGTCTCTTGCTCTTCGGATTCGTCGTCGTCAACATCATCCGAGTTGGTGCTGCAGAGGGTGTAAAAGGCCGAATCCGCCCATCTGACCGCGCCACCGATGCAGGACGTCAGGGCAGAGGTGCCACGTAACTCGGCGACGATGCTCGATAGCCCAAAGTCGCATAATAGCGCCTTGCCTTCGTCGTCGATGAGGATATTAGACTAAGTAATGATAAGAAAACGCCGACTTCTTGCGAGTAAGGAGGAGAACTCACTCCTGTAAGATCGCCGTGCACAATCGAGTTTTCATGCACTGATTCGCACGTTAGTTAAAATGCCAAGAGAGAAGCGGAAGGAAGGACGCACGGTAATTCAGCCCATCAGCTACTTCGCAAAGCTAGCGCTCCAGGTTAGCACAAGGAAGAGAAGCCAAGTCCCAAAAACGCACAAGCTGTAACCGATCGGTCATGGACAAGATATCCCCGCGCCGTTCCATGTACTTTGACACACTCCCCTGCTCAAACCACGGACACACCATCGAGTCGTACGGCCCAAAATCGGAGACGGTGCCAAGCAGCTTGAGGACGTGTTTATGATCCAACCGCTTCCAAACACCCAGCTCGCGAGCCAGCCGTTTCCGCATCTTGCCCTCCATTTGCAGATCGTCGAGGCGCGAGCGTAGGACTTTGACGGCGACCTGGGTGGATGTGAATAAAGGGTTTTAGGCAATGAGGAATTATGTACCCATCGGTCAGGCTGTTTATTCCACACGCCCTTCCAAACATCTGCGAATCCACCATGGGCTTGGGCGTAGCTGAAATTGACATGAGCCCGAAATCCCGAAGAATTGTCAACTGGACACGCACCTTCCCTCTCTCTTGATCTGACCCGTCAGGTCAAGCAAGGCTGTCGGGTCATCCTCCACAACTAAGGAAAGTATAAGCACTCGATACATCCCAAAGTGATAAAAACCCACAAGGCTCCGATTCGGGAGGCGGCGTCGGCGGAACGTCAAAGCCCAAACCCAATCCCGACACATCACCCGTTCCAAGATGTCCCCTCGGGAATGTAGTGTTGATAGCCAGCGGGCTGACTTCCTGCGACCCAGGACCAAAGAACCGCGGAAGGAGGTTCGGGCTGAGGAGCGATTCTTGGTCGCTGAGACAACCTTCTTGGCAAAATAGCGAGGAAGTCTCGGAGCGCGGGCCTTTACGGGCAGTAACGCTCCAAGAGCGTCCGTGCGAGCGCCGCCGGCCG